TACTTTGGATGTTACTTCCGGTTCAGTGGCGGCAGACAGTTGTCTTTTTTCATAGCTGCTTTCATTTTCACGTTAGTACGGATGTTTTACATCCTTTACGTGTAATGTTTTGTGCTGAGATGTAATCAGGAGTTTTCCTTTTCTCTCAAGATTTTTGCTGGGGCTAGGAGAACACGGCTCAAATACGTCCGCCTAGGCCTCAACAAAATGTGTTTACTGTATTGAAATTGTGCTAGCAGAAAGCAAAGTGGACCCATTCTAGCCCGCCTAGTTTACAGCAATGATATTATTGCCCTGCAGGAAACACAACTTGGTGATAACACGCTACACATGGTCGGTTTCAACTCTTTTTACAACAGGCAACACCTGGGACTAGCCATCCTTGTTTGAGATGGTGAAGTGGCTTCAGAGGTGGACATGTCTAAATGGGACAGTCACGGGATACACTAACAGACATGTCTAACAAAACACACCTGAAACACATACATGAAAGATCTACACTAACAGACATGTCTAACAAAACACATCTGAAGCACATACATGAAAGATCTACACTAACACTCCATGACAACCAGCAGCATGACGATGGAGGTGATGGCAGTGACACAAGCGCTTGCCTGGCTTCAAACACAAAAATACACCCGCGTGTGTATACTCAGTGATTCAATGAGTATGATCCGGAGGGTTCAGGCAGGTTCAGTGCGAAGACAATGGCTTGAATCATTACAGAAGTCCACTGTCCGTGGAGTCACCTTTATTTTTGTTCCGGGACACGCAGGCGTCGATGGAAATGAAAGAGCTGACAGGTTGGCTGGATCCGCTATCACTACCGACGGTCAGCCTATGGATCATGCTGATATTATCAATGCCCTCAGAGAAATGGGAAGGATAGACGACTTTGGTGGCAGTGAATCCACATCACTCGCCAGAATGGCAGACTTGGGAATTAAGATCGGCACAGCAAAAAACGAGACGCACACCAGTTACGCCAGAAGACTTGTTAATCAACATAGAACTGGTACTATTAGCCATCGGACGTTGGGGTTCATACTGAGGGGAGGATCTGAGCACCTATGGACATGTCCGGAGTGCAATGAGGATAACCCAACTAACTAACTAACTAACTAACTAACTAACTAACTAACTACACTAACAGACATGTCTAACAAAACACACCTGAAGCACATACATGAAAGATCTACACTAACAGACATGTCTAACAAAACACACCTGAAGCACATACATGAAAGATCTACACTAATAGACATGTCTAACAAAACACATCTGAAGCACATACATGAAAGATCTACACTAACAGACATGTCTAACAAAACACATCTGAATCACATACATGAAAGATCTACACTAATAGACATGTCTAACAAAACACATCTGAATCACATACATGAAAGATCTACACTAATAGACATGTCTAACAAAACACATCTGAAGCACATACATGAAAGATCTACACTAACAGACATGTCTAACAAAACACATCGGAAGCACATACATGAAAGATCTACACTAACAGACATGTCTAACAAAACATCTGAATCACATACATGAAAGATCTACACTAACAGATATGTCTAACAAAACACACCTGAAGCACATACATGAAAGATCTACACTAACAGACATGTCTAACAAAACACACCTGAAGCACATACATGAAAGATCTACACTAACAGATATGTCTAACAAAACACATCTGAATCACATACATGAAAGATCTACACTAACAGACATGTCTAACAAAACACATCTGAAGCACATACATGAAAGATCTACACTAACAGACATGTCTAACAAAACACATCGGAAGCACATACATGAAAGATCTACACTAACAGACATGTCTAACAAAACATCTGAATCACATACATGAAAGATCTACACTAACAGGTATGTCTAACAAAACACACCTGAAGCACATACATGAAAGATCTACACTAACAGACATGTCTAACAAAACACACCTGAAGCACATACATGAAAGATCTACACTAACAGACATGTCTAACAAAACACATCTGAATCACATACATGGAAGATCTACACTAACAGACATGTCTAACAAAACACATCTGAATCACATACATGAAAGATCTACACTAATAGACATGTCTAACAAAACACATCTGAATCACATACATGAAAGATCTACACTAACAGACTTGTCTAACAAAACACATCTGAATCACATACATGAAAGATCTACACTAATAGACATGTCTAACAAAACACATCTGAATCACATACATGAAAGATCTACACTAACAGACATGTCTAACAAAACACATCTGAAGCACATACATGAAAGATCTACACTAACAGACATGTCTAACAAAACACATCTGAAGCACATACATGAAAGATCTACACTAATAGACATGTCTAACAAAACACACCTGAATCACATACATGCAAGATCTACATGAAATAAAACACCTCCGACTGCCACAACTAAGCAAATCGTCATTCATTCAGTTGTGATTGTGTTGTTGATGTTAGTTATTAAGAATTATCAGTCACAAACTGTTCTGAAACATCTTCACTTTCTTATAAAAAAAAAATTTCTAATATAAAAAATATATTTGATAAAAAAAAGATTTATCAAAGTTAATGTCACAAAAGTGTTAAGTAATACTTTCACCTTCCGAAGGAGATGTGTCACCCATGGCAGAAGAAATATTCTCAGAAATATTGCTACTCTGGCGGCCTCTGAGAATTTAACACCATGACTGAATTACCCACCAACATGTCACTGACACGTCACTCACCATACATATTTGTGAAAATGTAGCTATAAACACTACAGAGTTGTTTCCCTTAAAGAAACGTTGAGAAATGAATTAACTGGGCTTTAGCTAAAGCTTTCACAAAAGTCACAATTTTATTATGGAGGTGAGTGCCTGAAGTGACAATGGCAAGGGAGGCAATGAAAGCAGCCAAGCGTTACCTGCGTGCAATCTGGGTAGTCAGTGGGTTCAACCTGCAGTCCCTGTAGGCCACGGATTCACTCACTTCCCTCAACACTGGTGTAGCCTGTTCCAACTGCACAGCAGCAACCTCTCTCTCATGGTGACAGTTCCCAGATCAAACCTGCAGTACTGAGGGACAGTCAACTGTGATGTCTAAAGCCATCACTGTGACCCCCTCAGCATCCATTCCCATTTGGGATGTCACACTCAGTTCTATGAGAATCTTGCTGTAAAGCTCCTTGATGATCTTTCATCTTGATCCCCTGATGTCCTCTACGGTCAGCAGACTTGTCTAGTCCCAGCCATAAATGTTGCTATCTAACTCAATATTAGTCCCTTCTACAACCAGGACACACTGTGTGTTAGATATTGTTGCACATATAATCCACACATAAGTTTCTCCTACAACCAGGACACACTGTGTGTTAGATATTGTTGCACATATAATCCACACATAAGTGTCTCCTACAACCAGGACACACTGTGTGTTAGATTATAATCCACACATAAGTTTCTCTTATAACCAGGACACACTGTGTGTTAGATATTGTTGCACATATAATCCACACACAAGTTTCTCCTACAACCAGGACACACTGTGTGTTAGATATTGTTGCACATAAAATCCACACACAAGTTTCTCCTACAAGTTTCTCCTACCTGTTAGATATTGTTGCACATATAATCCACACACAAGTTTCTCCTACAACCAGGACACACTGTGTGTTAGATATTGTTGCACATATAATCCACACACAAGTTTCTCCTACAACCAGGACACACTGTGTGTTAGATATTGTTGCACATATAATCCACACACAAGTTTCTCCTACAACCAGGACACACTGTGTGTTAGATATTGTTGCACATATAATCCACACACAAGTTTCTCCTACAACCAGGACACACTGTGTGTTAGATATTGTTGCACATATAATCCACACACAAGTTTCTCCTACAACCAGGACACACAATCCACACATAAGTGTCTCCTACAACCAGGACACACTGTGTGTTAGATTATAATCCACACATAAGTTTCTCTTATAACCAGGACACACTGTGTGTTAGATATTGTTGCACATATAATCCACACACAAGTTTCTCCTACAACCAGGACACACTGTGTGTTAGATATTGTTGCACATATAATCCACACACAAGTTTCTCCTACAACCAGGACACACTGTGTGTTAGATATTGTTGCACATATAATCCACACACAAGTTTCTCCTACAACCAGGACACACTGTGTGTTAGATATTGTTGCACATATAATCCACACACAAGTTTCTCCTACAACCAGGACACACTGTGTGTTAGATATTGTTGCACATATAATCCACACAGAAGTTTCTCTTATAACCAGGACACACTGTGTGTTGGATATTGTTGCACATATAATCCACACACAAGTTTCTCTTACAACCAGGACACACTGTGTGTTAGATATTGTTGCACATAAAATCCACACACAAGTTTCTCCTACAGTAAGACAATATATTCACTATCATCACTTCAAGTCAAAACCAAAACTAAGATATGTTGTTGATTGGACAACTGTATTTGTTTGTATGAGTTGGAGAAGATACAAGCATTCACTAAAAAAACTGGTTGAGTGTTCTGGAACAATCACAAAAACACATTTCATGTCAGTGACCTAGTGTGAGGTCTCTCAGTGTGAGGTCACTTAGTGTGAGGTCAGTGTAAGGTCACTCAGGCATCTGAAGTGTGCAAACATTTATCCATGATTATATTTGGTTCTACACAGTTAGCATAATTACTGCCTGAAAGTTCAGAAATGTGGACAATTTTATATATCTGATGAGATAAACTGAGCAGTGCCTCTCTGCATGCCTGCCTATAACTGAATGCAGCCTCCCTGAAGCGGTGTTCAATGACTGCGTGATGTGGTTGTAAAGACCCACGACTGATACTGCTGGTCATGTGTGCCTGGTCAGCATGTCACTGACACTTTCACCATACCTGCTGGACTCAACAAACAAAATCCAACTACATGAAAGGTCCTCTCCAGTTGCCAGAGAAAGGTGACCCTGTCAAGCTGCCGGCACCTGGCCTGGGTTGTCCTGGCAGACCAAACCCTGGCTCTGGAAACAAGGGATCTGGGATGTTGACTCTTGGCAACAAAGGACCATTTGACCTTCGACCTCCAAATGGATTTGGGTTTCCTGAGTAATGAGTTTTAAAAAAAAGTGTAAGAATCTATACACAAATGAATGAGACTTCTGGCAGTGACTTAGATTATGGCCTATAGTGACAGCACAAGTAGTGCTGAGTCTCCTCTCAGAGATGTCATAACACTGCACCCAGTACATCAGTGTGTGTGTCTGCCACAATCACACTCCACAAACTGCACCCAGTACATCAGTGTAAGTGTCTGCCACAATCACACTCCACAAACTGCACCCAGTACATCAGTGTGTGTGTCTGCCACAATCACACTCCACAAACTGCACCCAGTACATCAGTGTGTGTGTCTGCCACAATCACATTGCACCCAGTACATCAGTGTATGTGTCTGCCACAATCACACAGCACAAACTGCACCCAGTACATCAGTGTGTGTGTCTGCCACAATCACACTCCACAAACTGCACCCAGTACATCAGTGTATGTATCTGCCACAATCACACTCCACAAACTGCACCCAGTACATCAGTGTAAGTGTCTGCCACAATTACACTGCACCCAGTACATCAGTGTATGTGTCTGCCACAATTACACTGCACAAACTGCACCCAGTACATCAGTGTAAGTATCTGCCACAATCACACTGCACAAACTGCACCCAGTACATCAGTGTAAGTATCTGCGACAATCACACTGCACAAACTGCACCCAGTACATCAGTGTATGTGTCTGCCACAATAACACTGCACCAACTGCACCCAGTACATCAGTGTATGTGTCTGCCACAATTACACTGCACAAACTGCACCCAGTACATCAGTGTATGTTTCTGCCACAATCACACTCCACAAACTGCACCCAGTACATCAGTGTATGTGTCTGCCACAATCACACTCCACAAACTGCACCCAGTACATCAGTGTATGTGTCTGCCACAATCACACTCCACAAACTGCACCCAGTACATCATTGTATGTATCTGCCACAATCACACTCCACAAACTGCACCCAGTACATCAGTGTAAGTGTCTGCCACAATTACACTGCACCCAGTACATCAGTGTATGTGTCTGCCACAATTACACTGCACAAACTGCACCCAGTACATCAGTGTACTTATCTGCCACAATCACACTGCACAAACTGCACCCAGTACATCAGTGTAAGTATCTGCCACAATCACACTGCACAAACTGCACCCAGTACATCAGTGTATGTGTCTGCCACAATAACACTGCACCAACTGCACCCAGTACATCAGTGTATGTGTCTGCCACAATTACACTGCACAAACTGCACCCAGTACATCAGTGTATGTGTCTGCCACAATCACACTCCACAAACTGCACCCAGTACATCAGTGTATGTGTCTGCCACAATCACACTCCACAAACTGCACCCAGTACATCAGTGTATGTGTCTGCCACAATCACACTCCACAAACTGCACCCAGTACATCAGTGTATGTGTCTGCCACAATCACACTCCACAAACTGCACCCAGTACATCAGTGTATGTGTCTGCCACAATCACACTCCACAAACTGCACTCAGTACATCAGTGTATGTATCTGCCACAATCACACTCCACAAACTGAACCCAGTACATCAGTGTAAGTGTCTGCCACAATCACACTCCACAAACTGCACCCAGTACATCAGTGTGTGTGTCTGCCACAATCACACTCCACAAACTGCACCCAGTACATCAGTGTATGTATCTGCCACAATCACACTCCACAAACTGCACCCAGTACATCAGTGTAAGTGTCTGCCACAATCACACTCCACAAACTGCACCCAGTACATCAGTGTATGTGTCTGCCACAATCACACTCCACACCAATCTTGGCACTGATATGATGAGACTGAAACAATCAGACATCTTTAACACCAATCTTGGCACTGATATGATGAGACTGAAACAATCAGACGTCTTTAACACCAATCTTGGCACTGATATGATGAGACTGAAACAATCAGACATCTTTAACACCAATCTTGGCACTGATATGATGAGACTGAAACAATCAGACATCTTTAACACCAATCTTGGCACTGATATGATCAGACTAAAACAATCAGATGTCTTTAACACTAATCTTGGCACTGATATGATGAGACTGAAACAATCAGACGTCTTTAACACCAATCTTGGCACTGATATGATGAGACTGAAACAATCAGACGTCTTTAACACCAATCTTGGCACTGATATGATGAAACTGAAACAATCAGACATCTTTAACACCAATCTTAGCACTGATATGATGAGACTGAAACAATCAGACATCTTTAACACCAATCTTAGCACATATGATGAGACTGAAACAATCAGACGTCTTTAACACCAATCTTGGCACTGATATGATGAGACTGAAACAATCAGACATCTTTAACACCAATCTTGGCACTGATATGATGAGACTGAAACAATCAGACGTCTTTAACACCAATCTTGGCACTGATATGATGAGACTGAAACAATCAGATGTCTTTAACACCAATCTTGGCACTGATATGATGAGACTGAAACAATCAGATGTCTTTAACACCAATCTTGGCACTGATATGATCAGACTGAAACAATCAGATGTCTTTAACAACAATCTTGGCACTGATATGATGAGACTCAAATCTGGCCTTGGGTCCCCAACATGATGCAAGAGACATCAGATATCACCTTCTGGTTACCACAAGTGTTTGCATTCTATCTCAGGCATACCTCCACATGCTATCTCAGGCATACCTCCACATGCTATCTAAGGCATACCTCCACATGCTATCTCAGGCATACCTCCACATGCTTTTTTCAGGCATACCTCCACATGCTATCTCAGGCATACCTCCACATGCTATCTCAGGCTTACCTCCACATGCTATCTCAGGCACACCTCCACATGCTATCTCAGGCTTACCTCCACATGCTATCTCAGGCACACCTCCACATGCTATCTCAGGCATACCTCCACATGCTATCTCAGGCATACCTCCACATGCTATCTCAGGCATACCTCCACATGCTATCTCAGGCATACCTCCACATGCTATCTCAGGCATACCTCCACATGCTATCTTACCTGAGGCATATTCCGGATTGATGCATTCCATCTCAGGCATACCTCCACATGCTATCTTACCTGAGGCATATTCCGGATTGATGCATTCTATCTCAGGCATACCTCCACATGCTATCTCAGGCATACCTCCACATGCTATCTCAGGCATACCTCCACATGCTATCTCAGGCATACCTCCACATGCTATCTCAGGCATACCTCCACATGCTATCTTACCTGAGGATATTCTGGATTGATGCATTCTATCTCAGGCACACTTCCACATGCTAACTCAGGCATACCTCCACATGCTATCTCAGGCATACCTCCACATGCTATCTCAGGCATACCTCCACATGCTATCTTACCTGAGGCATATTCCGGATTGGTGCATTCTATCTCAGGCATACCTCCACATGCTATCTCAGGCATACCTCCACATGCTATCTCAGGCATACCTCCACATGCTATCTCAGGCATACCTCCACATGCTATCTCAGGCATACCTCCACATGCTATCTCAGGCATACCTCCACATGCTATCTCAGGCATACCTCCACATGCTATCTCAGGCTTACCTCCACATGCTATCTCAGGCATACCTCCACATGCTATCTTACCTGAGGCATATTCCGGATTGATGCATTCTATCTCAGGCATACCTCCACATGCTATCTTACCTGAGGCATATTCCGGATTGACATCATAATCCCCTCCCACCAAGTGAGGAAATGGCAAGCCAGGATTAGCTGGTCTGAATGGTCCGGAGCCAGGAAACCCCCAGGGTGGGTCTGTCTCATCCACGTACAAGATTCTGTTTCTTCTGTCCTGTTCTTCCTTGTACTGTCTATATCTGACCTTAAACATCTGCAAGAAGAAATCAGATGGTTAATGACATTAGACTCCTAGAGTTGGCTGAATGGTTAATGACACTAGACTCCTAGAGTTGACTGAATGGTTAATGACATCAGAGTCCTAGAGTTGGCTGAATGGTTAATGACATCAGATTCCTAGAGTTGGCTAAATGGTTAATGACATCAGAGTCCTAGAGTTGGCTGAATGGTTAATGACATCAGATTCCTAGAGTTGGCTAAATGGTTAATGACATCAGAGTCCTAGAGTTGGCTGAATGGTTAATGACACTAGACTCCTAGAGTTGACTGAATGGTTAATGACACTAGACTCCTAGAGTTGGCTGAATGGTTAATGACATCAGAGTCCTAGAGTTGGCTGAATGGTTAATGACATCAGATTCCTAGAGTTGGCTGAATTGTTAATGACACTAGACTCCTAGAGTTGGCTGAATGGTTAATGACACTAGACTCCTAGAGTTGGCTGAATGGTTAATGACATCAGATTCCTAGAGTTGGCTGAATTGTTAATGACACTAGACTCCTAGAGTTGGCTGAATGGTTAATGTCATCAGATTCCTAGAGTTGGCTGAATGGTTAATGACACTAGACTCTTAGAGTTGGCTGAATGGTTAATGACACTAGACTTCTAGAGTTGGCTGAATGGTTAATGACACTAGACTCCTAGAGTTGGCTGAATGATTAAGAACATTTAAACTCCTATAGTTTGATTGAATGGTTAATGAAATTAAACTCCTAAAGTTCACTGAATGTTAATTAACATTAGACTCCTAGAGTTGGCTGAATGGTTAATGTCATCAGATTCCTAGAGTTGGCTGAATTTTTAATGACACTAGACTCCTAGAGTTGGCTGAATGATTAAGAACATTTAAACTCCTATAGTTTGATTGAATGGTTAATGAAATTAAACTCCTAAAGTTCACTGAATGTTAATTAACAGAGTTGACTCAATAGTACAAATAGTTGCACACTGTAGCAGATGTTTGGTGCTCACAAGTCCACCCAGAAAGGAATCTATACTGAGGTATGAACAGTGAGATGTGGCTAACCCTATTTCCTCTACTACAGCAGGCAAGTATTCCACCACCATAACAAACATTCCATCCAACAATTGAAACACACTCAAACTCAGCTGGCTAGGACTTCCGTTAGCCGTCACTGATGGCCAGGTAGGCGTTGGAAAAATACTGTGCAGACATATTGGACTTGAACCCTTTTTCTGGATCAGGCAGACACTCCATCATACTTCATGTATTCATTTCCGAGGACTGAACAAAACTGACTACCAGCCCTTTCCAAGGCATTATGTAACCTTCTAATGCCCTCCTCGTGATTCTGAATCATCCGTGTTCCCCCGATTCACACGAATTCCACTTGGCCAGCAGTTTCTATGTGATCCCCGTGAATAATTATAATTCACATGAAGTTCGTCTGTCAACATTTCTTTACAATTCACGCGTTGTCCCAGTTACACTCAAAATATTCCACTCACATTTATTAGCTGATGTCATTCCGTCTGGGACATAATTTCTCTAGGAGAAAATGAGGTTCACTACATCCACCCTAACACAGTGATTCAGTTTGACACAGTGAATATGTCTACCCTAACTAACTACAACACAGTGATTCAGTTTGACACAGTGAACATGTCTACCCTAACTAACTACAACACAGTGATTCAGTTTGACACAGTGAATATGTCTACCCTAACTATCTACAACACAGTGATTCAGTTTGACACAGTGAATATGTCTACCCTAACTAACTACAACACAGTGATTCAGTTTGACACAGTGAATATGTCTACCCTAACTAACTACAACACAGTGATTCAGTTTGACACAGTGAATATGTCTACCCTAACTAACTACAACACAGTGATTCAGTTTGACACAGTGAACATGGTTCCTACCTCGTACCAGTTTCTGGACAAGCTGCAGTCGTCTGGTTCTACAGTTGGAATACAAAAACAAAGCTTTAGTGCAGTGTTGCTAATAACAGAACAATGAGTCAAAGCTGACTGTGGATTTTTTTTATACAGGTGGGAAGAAGCAGAATGGCAGAATTCATGTGGTGTAAGAGAAATTCTGTACACAAAAGATCCCCCAGTGCCAAGCTATGCTTCCATGTCACCTGTCAGAGAAGTGTTGTGTGGCTACATACTGAAGACTGTCATCGCTGCACTCAGCTGATCTTCTCTATCATGCTTCCAACATTCAGCTGATCTTCTCTATCATGCATACAACACTCAGCTGATCTTCTCTATCATGCTTCCAACACTCAGCTGATCTTCTCTATCATGCTTACAACACTCAGCTGATCTTCTCTATCATGCATACAACACTCAGCTGATCTTCTCTCTATCATGCTTACAACACTCAGCTGATCTTCTCTCTATCATGCATCCAACACTCAGCTGATCTTCTCTCTATCATGCATCCAACACTCAGCTGATCTTCTCTATCATGCTTACAACACTCAGCTGATCTTCTCTCTATCATGCTTACAACACTCAGCTGATCTTCTCTATCATGCATCCAACACTCAGCTGATCTTCTCTATCATGCATCCAACACTCAGCTGATCTTCTCTCTATCATGCTTACAATACTCAGCTGATCTTCTCTATCATGCTTACAACACTCAGCTGATCTTCTCTCTATCATGCATCCAACACTCAGCTGATCTTCTCTATCATGCTTACAACACTCAGCTGATCTTCTCTCTATCATGCTTACAACACTCAGCTGATCTTCTCTATCATGCATACAACACTCAGCTGATCTTCTCTCTATCATGCTTACAACACTCAGCTGATCTTCTCTCTATCATGCATCCAACACTCAGCTGATCTTCTCTCTATCATGCATCCAACACTCAGCTGATCTTCTCTATCATGCTTACAACACTCAGCTGATCTTCTCTCTATCATGCTTACAACACTCAGCTGATCTTCTCTCTATCATGCTTACAACACTCAGCTGATCTTCTCTATCATGCATCCAACACTCAGCTGATCTTCTCTATCATGCATCCAACACTCAGCTGATCTTCTCTCTATCATGCTTACAACACTCAGCTGATCTTCTCTATCATGCTTACAACACTCAGCTGATCTTCTCTCTATCATGCATCCAACACTCAGCTGATCTTCTCTATCATGCTTACAACACTCAGCTGATCTTCTCTATCATGCTTACAACACTCAGCTGATCTTCTCTCTATCATGCTTACAACACTCAGCTGATCTTCTCTATCATGCTTACAACACTCAGCTGATCTTCTCTATCATGCATCCAACACTCAGCTGATCTTCTCTATCATGCTTACAACACTCAGCTGATCTTCTCTATCATGCATCCAACACTCAGCTGATCTTCTCTATCATGCTTACAACACTCAGCTGATCTTCTCTATCATGCTTACAACACTCAGCTGATCTTCTCTATCATGCATCCAACACTCAGCTGATCTTCTCTATCATGCTTACAACACTCAGCTGATCTTCTCTCTATCATGCTTACAACACTCAGCTGATCTTCTCTATCATGCTTACAACACTCAGCTGATCTTCTCTCTATCATGCTTACAACACTCAGCTGATCTTCTCTATCATGCTTACAACACTCAGCTGATCTTCTCTATCATGCTTACAACACTCAGCTGATCTTCTCTATCATGCATCCAACACTCAGCTGATCTTCTCTCTATCATGCTTACAACACTCAGCTGATCTTCTCTATCATGCATCCAACACTCAGCTGATCTTCTCTATCATGCTTACAACACTCAGCTGATCTTCTCTCTATCATGCATCCAACACTCAGCTGATCTTCTCTATCATGCATCCAACACTTAGCTGATCTTCTCTATCATGCATCCAACACTCAGCTGATCTTCTCTATCATGCTTACAACACTCAGCTGATCTTCTCTCTATCATGCATCCAACACTCAGCTGATCTTCTCTATCATGCTTACAACACTCAGCTGATCTTCTCTCTATCATGCATACAACACTTAGCTGATCTTCTCTATCATGCATCCAACACTCAGCTGATCTTCTCTATCATGCATACAACACTCAGCTGATCTTCTCTATCATGCATCCAACACTCAGCTGATCTTCTCTCTATCATGCTTACAACACTCAGCTGATCTTCTCTCTATCATGCTTACAACACTCAGCTGATCTTCTCTCTATCATGCTTACAACACTCAGCTGATCTTCTCTCTATCATGCTTACAACACTCAGCTGATCTTCTCTCTATCATGCTTACAACACTCAGCTGATCTTCTCTCTATCATGCATACAACACTCAGCTGATCTTCTCTATCATGCATCCAACACTCAGCTGATCTTCTCTCTGTCATGCATACAACACTTAGCTGATCTTCTCTCTGTCATGCATCCAACACTCAGCTGATCTTCTCTCTGTCATGCTTACAACACTCAGCTGATCTTCTCTCTATCATGCTTACAACACTCAGCTGATCTTCTCTCTATCATGCATCCAACACTCAGCTGATCTTCTCTCTATCATGCATACAACATTCAGCTGATCTTCTCTATCATGCATCCAACACTCAGCTGATCTCTCTATCATGCTTACAACACTCAGCTGATCTTCTCTCTATCATGCTTACAACACTCAGCTGATCTTCTCTCTATCATGCTTACAACACTTAGCTGATCTTCTCTCTGTCATGCTTACAACACTCAGCTGATCTTCTCTCTATCATGCTTACAACACTCAGCTGATCTTCTCTCTATCATGCTTACAACACTCAGCTGATCTTCTCTCTATCATGCTTACAACACTCAGCTGATCTTCTCTCTATCATGCTTACAACACTCAGCTGATCTTCTCTGTCATGCATACAACACTCAGCTGATCTTCTCCCTATCATGCATCCAACACTCAGCTGATCTTCTCTATCATGCTTACAACACTCAGCTGATCTTCTCTATCATGCATCCAACACTCAGCTGATCTTCTCTATCATGCTTACAACACTCAGCTGATCTTCTCTCTATCATGCTTACAACACTCAGCTGATCTTCTCTCTATCATGCTTACAACACTCAGCTGATCTTCTGTCTATCATGCTTACAACACTCAGCTGATCTTCTGTCTATCATGCTTACAACACTCAGCTGATCTTCTCTATCATGCATCCAACACTCAGCTGATCTTCTCTATCATGCTTCCAACACTCAGCTGATCTTCTCTATCATGCATCCAACACTCAGCTGATCTTCTCTATCATGCTTACAACACTTAGCTGATCCTCTGTCTATCATGCTTACAACACTTAGCTGATCTTCTCTATCATGCTTACAACACTCAGCTGATCTTCTCTATCATGCTTACAACACTCAGCTGATCTTCTGTCTATCATGCTTACAACACTCAGCTGATCTTCTCTCTATCATGCTTACAACACTCAGCTGATCTTCTCTCTATCATGCTTACAACACTCAGCTGATCTTCTCTCTATCATGCTTACAACACTCAGCTGATCTTCTCTCTATCATGCATACAACACTCAGCTGATCTTCTGTCTATCATGCTTACAACACTCAATGTTTATAGTTAGCGACTGTGTACTAACTATTGCCTCAGGCTTGTTTCATTTTACACATGATCACCCATTTTCTATCTCTTTCTACAAGATTTCAATGTATGCATACCTCCTCTCCCTCTCCCATTCTCTTAACAATGTTGCTTTAATCTCTCTCCTTCTCTCTCTCTCCCTATTTTTCTCTCTATCTCTCTATTTTATCACACAGATACAAAATTGACAGTCGCAATGAGACAATCCATTCAGAAAATCAAAGCAGGATATCTACAAAATGCTAACCTCTTCCAGTCATATCCCATATTCATGCAGCTGCACTCACTGGATCTCACCAGCCATATCCCACATTTATCCAGCTACACTCACTGAATCTCACCACCCATGTCCCACATTTATCCAGCTCCTCTCACTGAATCTCACCAGTCATGTCCCACATTTATCCAGCTACACTCACTGAATCTCACCAGCCATGTCCCACATTTATCCAGCTACACTCACTGAATCTCAACAGTCATGTCCCACATTTATCCAGCTACACTCACTGAATCTCACCAGACATGTCCCACATTCATGCAGCTACACTCACTGAATCTCACCAGCCATGTCCCACATTCATCAAGCTACACTCACTGAATCTCACCAGCCATGTCCCACATTTATCCAGCTACACTCACTGAATCTCACCAGCCATGTCCCACATTTATCCAGCTACACTTACTGAATCTCACCAGTCATGTCCCACATTTATCCAGCTACACTCACTGAATCTCACCAGTCATGTCCCACATTTATCCAGCTACACTCACTCAATCTCACCAGTCATGTCTCATATTTATCCAGCTACACTCACTAAATCTCACCAGCCATGTCCCACATTTATCCAGCTATACTCACTGAATCTCACCAGTCATGTCCAACATTTATCCTGCTGCACTCACTGAATCTCATCAGCCATGTCCCATATTTATCCAGCTACACTCACTGAATCTCACCAGTCATGTCCAACATTTATCCAGCTGCACTCACTGAATCTCACCAGCCATGTCCCACATTCATGCAGCTACACTCACTGAATCTCACCAGCCATGTCCCACATTCATGCAGCTACACTCACTGAATCTCACCAGTCTGGTAACAAAGATCACAGGGAACATACAGATGAGTATCTAACACCCAGCAATCATATTACAGACAGCACACACTGCAGTATCTAACACCCAGCAAATCATATTACAGACAACACACACTGCAGTATCTAACACCCAGCAAATCATATTACAGACAGCACACACT